CCTGCTTCAGCCTCCTAAGTGCTGGGATTAAAGGTGTGCGCCACTACTACTCAGCTTTTCCTTCTCTTTGATGTAAGGTTTTGTCATACAGTCCAGAATGGCTTCAAATTTGAGATTGTCCTGTCTATATTTCAGTAGTGGGATTATAACATCTGTCACAATTATTCAGCTCTCCATACATCTAGAACCTACACTCTTAGTGAACAAAGAGCTGGTATTTTTTGATATTTGAGTTCTAGTGCAGTGGTTCTCAACCTGTGTGTCACGCCCCTTTGTGGGGGCCAAATGACCCTTTCACAGGGGTTGCCTAAGACCATAGGAAAACATAGATATTTACATTGATTCATAATAGGTAGCAACAGTCATGGGTAGCAACAAAAATAGTTTTATGGTTGGGAGTCACAACATGAGGAACTGTATTAAAGGGTCCCAGTATTAGGAGGGTTGAGAACCACTGGTCTAGAGGCTGACAGCACACTCCGTAAGTTCCTGGTTTTATTTCAGATGTGATGCAGGTATAGGGAATGGATTCACATTAGCATTCTAGAGTTCCGCTTGGATTAGCTATACCCTAATGTGGGAAATTACCAATACAGAGCCAGGTGAAAATACAAGGGAATTTAATAGGGAAAAGCCTTACTTACAGAGCCACCTAGCCAGCCAGCAGGGCAGCTGTAAGTACAGCAAGCCGAAGATGAAAGCAAAAGCAGGGCCACCACATAAGCATCCCTCCTTCTTCAACTTTCCCTACCTCACCCTGACCATGCCCTCACAGGCATGGCTACATCCATGGTAGCATCCCCTACAATACCCACACCTACCTTCTAACAATGCACTTGTGGTGGGGGAAGTGCTTCTGTGTATGTGTTTGTCTTACTGGATGATAAACAAAATACTGTTTGGCCAATGAGGCAGCAAGTTAGACAGGACTAGGAGTCAAAGAGGATTCTAGGAAATGTAGTAGAGAAGTAGTGTTTCAGGCAGGAAGTGACATAGCAAGGAGACTCATATTTAAGCAAGGAGAAACAGGAAGTGTCCCCTTTCCCCTTTGCCTGCTCCAACGGCGCCATGTGAGCCATCGGCAAGAGAGGGTGCCAGATAAGTCTTATAAAATATATAGATGTATGATAATTAAGACTGAGCTAACAGATGAGAAATCCTAGTCATTGGCCAAACAGCATTTTCTCTAAGAACTGTCTCTGTGCATGAATTTGGGCCCTAACTCGGGTGGGCGGCTGGCATAAAGCGTACACGTGGTGGTGGGGCTCTGCGGCTTTTGGTGGAAAGATTTATCATAACACATTTGCTAACATAGGACCCTTACCTGCATGGGCTATGTATGATATATCCTTTTCTAAACAATGCACCTAGCCACCTATGACCTCCACCTACATTGGGCTGCATGCACACTCCTCTCTGAACAGTGAAATAGGTTCCTTTTCTCCCAAACAATTACCAAAGTTATACAAATCCCATTCATCCATGTTCCAGTTTGTGTCCAAGTACAGAAGGTAGAAGGCAGATAAGACTTGAACTGATTTTGAATATATGCACAGTAAGGCAAACCGAGTCCTCTCAGTGAACTTTCAGGAAGAATTCCCCATTGCCACTTTATTCCTATGTATAATTGTGTATGCATATGATTAAAATCAGATGCATTATAGGAAGGACCATATGCAGTGAGCCTATGCAATCCAAATCTGTCCATCGAAACAGAACTACTCCCACTAGACTTCTTAGCAACCAAACTCCTCTTGGATTCAATAAAAGGAAGACCCAAGCAATAATGGGGGCCCTTAAGTTCCTTCTCAACTCATGTAGCCTTTTGTCAGCATTGGCAGATTATCTGACCTATTCTATTGCTTTGCTTTGAGTAAAGTTTTGGTACTTTTCCAAATCACTGTGAGTCCTTATTTCAACTCTCTGAAGAGGCCAAGAACCTGGAAACAACCAGTCCAGAACTTGACAACTGGTAACAATTTCAGGGAGGAACTGTTTTCCTTAAAGATATTTGTCCACTCTGGATACAGCATTCCAGACACACCTACTCACTCCTTCACCTATGTCTGTGGTGGACCACATTGGGTAGGTAGTCTGTCCCCTTTTTGAGAGCTATACATCACTCTTTCCTTTGTCACAGAGCCCCCTGTGTGTGCTGTTGTGCAATCAGTCCTTGTGGCCATTGTTGGGCAAGACAGGCTCAGTAGAGTCCTGTCCCAGGCAAGCAGAGCCAAAAAACAGCCAGAAAGTTAGTTCTGGGGCTGGGCTAACACCAGCTGCACTTGGGAGATGGTGGTGGTATTTTCATTTGTCCTACCACGTGACAAGCAGGACATAGGGGGAAAAGGGTATGACTTTAGTGAAAATAGGATCCAGGTGATAGTGCTCTCATAGGGGTTGCCAGGCCCTGGCCCACTCATCCCCAAAGTTTTGAACCAATCTTGGATCTTGAAAGCATCCCTGACTGCTTGTGTTTCTTCCTCAGTCCATCCTAGCTGGTGCCCTTTCTTTATCCACAACTAAAGGAGTCTACATACAAGCTTTAGGCCTCACAGGCCAACGTGAAGATCCTGAGAGCCATGTGTCTATCCCATGAGTGCAGGAATTTCAGTAGCTGTGGAGGAGGCAAGTTGTCACCCAGTTAAATGACATTTGGCAGATTTGGATGAAGGGCCTAAGGGTCTGTCCAGTGACTTGCTAGCTGGGGAAGCTCTAGTCCCTTCACCCTACTTGGTTTTGGTGGTACAAAGAGGGTCTCTTATTTTTACGTTTAACAACTGTGTATTCGTTGTGTGTGCATATGGGTGTCGTGTACCACAATGAGTATGTGGAGGTCAGTGGATACCCTATGGGGGTTGAGTTTTCCACCATGAGGGTTCCAGGTATCAAACTCAGGTACTCAGTTGACAAATGATGCCCTTGAGTTATAACTCATTCTTTATTCCATTATGTCAACATTTGCTAAAGCCCTTTTTGAGTGTAGTGGTTAACACTGTCAATTTGATGGAGTCTCAGATCACCTAAGAGACAGGCCTCTGAGTGTGTTTATTTGGGATTATCTAGACTAAATTAGTCTCTGGATGTCTGTAAAGGATTATATAGATTGAATTGAGGTGGAAAATCCATCCTGAATGCTCCAAATATCATCTCATGGGTTGGAGTCCCAGACTGTGTATAAAGGCTAAAGTGAGCTAGTGCAAGCATTCATCTTCCTGACTGTGGATACAACATACCCAGTTGTTTCAAGATTCTGCCACATAGCTTCCCTGTAATGATAGGCTATTCTTTGGAACTGGGAACCAAAACAAATCTCCCTTCTTAAATTGCTGTTTAAACATTTATTTTATTCTATGAGTGTGCTTTGCCTCAATGTGTGCATGTGCATCCCACACATTCAGAAGACATTGGATTCCTTGGAACTGCAGCTACATACAGTTGTGAGCTTCTATGGGGAGAGGAGATGCTGGGAATTGAACCTGGGTCTTCTGCAAGAACAACAAGTGCTCTTAACCACTGAGCCACCTCTCCAGCCCTGTAAATTGCTTCTTGTCAGATATTTCATTAAAGTAATGAGAAAAGTAATGAATACAGACATCAAACAGATCAAGAAACCACAAAGTAATCTCCATTTCATCCACTGGCCAGGACCAAGGCTCAAAGTTTTATCTTGTAAAGAAATCCAGGCTCCTTTGCAATGGGATGTTAACTCTTTTTATTAACTCAGGGTTAACATTAGATTTGCTTCACTGATTTCTTATTTGAAGTTGTGGATTCAACAGACAACAGCTGGGTCCTTGCCACTCACAGGTGGCAAAACACATTATAGTCAGAGAGGAGAGCAGGACAATATGGAGAGAGACAAGGTTGGAAAAATTTAAGGCAAATGTTATTCCCATAGTAAAGGGAACTGATCAAGCAGATCTGCGCATTTCAATGAAAATATATGAAATATTTGTCAAAATAATTAACATCGGTAAAAATTAGAACACATAGCTTATAAAATGCCTACATAGGCTTGGCAGAAATCAATCCAGCTATATCATGTAGGCTGGTACTCTACTGGACCACAGCAGCATCCACCCGAGAACAGAGTCCTGAGCAGAGGCCAAATGCACTTGAAAAGCAGTTGTGTAATGTGGAGGGCTGGCGATTAGTGATTGGGGGGCTGGCTTTGCATGTTTAAGGAGGAAATGCTTGGCCATCAGGTGTCTTTTGGCTAGCCCTAAATACCTTCCTTAGACCTCCTCCACAGGCTCTACATCTGTAGATGGCTAGTGGCTCAGGTCCAGGAGGTCCCAGGGACACAAGAAGAACAGTCATGAGGATAGCTCGGCTCACTCAGGAGAATGGTGATCTGTTTCGGTTTGGTGCTGGACCTTCGAGGCAGTGGCTGCAGTTCTGGAAGGAGATGACTACATAGACATAGATTCTATCCCCAGTGGTCATACATCTTATGCCCTGAAACCTGTTTTATTTACAGTCTGACCAAACTGTCTCTCAGGTAGTTTGGTGGCCAGTGACACATGGGTAGGAGGCTAGGCCCTTTATCATAGGTAAGGACAGCAGAGGGTCCTGCCAGCCAACTCGGCGAGATTTGCCATGGTCACACAAATGTGTGGGAGGAGGACTTGATGTGGTGCCAGGCATCTCTCTTTTTCCACTTTGGTCTTGAAATTTCAGTAAACTAGGGTCCCAGAAGCCACTCCGAAGCTGCAGTTTTGAGTCTCATAATTCATTTTGTTCCCATTTTGAGTTCAACTTTAGACTGCAGCCAGCAAGCAGAGTTTGAGGGGGTGTTGCAATTTTAGCCACATATCCTTAAGGGCCACCTCCATCTGGTTCAGGTGCTGAGATGCTGCAGTAGGACCCAGCTCTGGGGGAGATCCAGCTGTCAGATGCAGGGCCATCCCAGGATCAGGCTATGGCTGACCGTCTGGAGGAAGGTGGATGGGCAAATGGGCAGACAGGAGGACCCTGCCCTCTGCAGGCAGCTGGCGCCCCTACCCAGCCAAGAGGCAGGTACGGCAGCAGAACTGGATGAAGAGCTTCCGTTCACAGAGCCGGTTGGACTTCACCATTTCACAGAAGGTTTCATCAGCTGGCACCAGGAAAGGAAAAGGAGGGATCAGATCAGATTTTTGGTCCTGTGAAGATTCAGTTGTTCTCCATTTGCCAGGCACTGATGGTGCACCAGGCAGGGCACACAGTCACTTATGAGCCATTTCAGTGCAAACGTCTGGTAAGGCCCAGGTGATACTGGGGTATGGAACTTCCGCTAAGTTTAAGTGACAAGGGGAAGGGGGTTTCTGAAGGGGCTGTAGGAATGAGATGGGGTGTGCTATGGGAGGGTCCTTTGTGCTCATGTGAGACTCTTTCAGGTCACTGCTGGTGGCTGCTTAGGAAGAAGAATGGGGCGGGGGTGGAGGGCTGGGGGGGCAGCAGTGTAGACAGAGGTGCAGGGCTAGAGCAGGAGAGAAAGCAGGCTTCAGGAATATAATCTAGGGGACATTTCCCAGGAGAAGACAGGCAGGCAGGACTCAGTGATGGCAAGGTGGGGAGAGCAATGGTGGCTGGTAGTCTCCCTCTGCATTGTCACTAGGGAGCAGACTGTCCTATGGCAGCCTCACTTTCTGGGGCTGGGCACATAACCTGAGCAGGGACTTCCTAAACAGGAAGCCCCCTGGACTTTGGAAGGACAGAATTTGCAAATTTAAAAAGTAAACAAGGCAGGTTGGGCAGTGGTGGCACATGCCTTTAATCCCAGCACTCGTGGGGGGGGGGCTGGAGGATCTCTGTGAGTTCGAGACCAGCCTGGTCTACAAGAGCTCCAAAGCCACAGAGAAACCCTGTCTTGAAAAACAAAAAAAAAAACAAAAAACAAGCAAACAAAAACAAGTAAACAAGGCACAAGTAGGTGACCTGGGAAGTCAGGACAACTTCAGGGTGCTGTATGGGCATTCTGACTGTGAAGGGCCATGCCAGCATTATAACCAGGGATTACCTGTCCACCCTTGGGCACTTGGAGTGGGTGGATCCCTTCTCCTGCATATCAGGATATGGTATCTAGCATTGGCTTCCTGCAGTGTCTCCCTGCTGCTTGCTTAGTATGAGTTCCCCTTCTAAGATTCAGCAACTTGCTCCTGAATGAGGCCTCCAGGACAGAGGCCTCTGCTGCTCCTGCCTGGCATCCCCACTGTCGATTACTTCTGAGTTGAGTTCCTATTATAATTTGTCCTCCTGCCCTCACCATCTATCTACAGAGCCAAGGACTCCCCATAGCACAGCTATAGACTGCTGGATTCCTATTATTGAGCATGGGGCTCAACTCTGTCCTTCTAGTCCCAAGGATGAGGTCTTTCAGGCCTCCTGGTGTTGATGTCTGCTAGAGGAAAGTTGCTGTATTCAAGCTGCCCATTGCCTAGCTCAGGAGAATGGGAATGGTGTACAGACTGAATTACTTTTTAGTTATGTAGCCAACTAGATGGTCAGACAAGTCAGAGACAAGCACCCCTACTCTGGGCAGCCATGCCTGTGCTTTCTCTTCGCTCTTTACTGCTTCACGGGCAGCTCCAAGGGTCACCCTGTTGGCACTCACCATTGCTGCAGGTGTGGTTGGTGATGCAGGAGGTCCCCAGCTGTGTGAAGCCAGCCTTACATCTGCTGCAGTTCCTACTGGAGCCCTCACAGCTCAAGCAGTTTTCATCACATCTGTGGGGAGACATCAGCTCCTCCTGAGGTTTGGGGAAAAGGCCCTACTACGTGGGGTTCCCATCCCGGAACCTCCCAGCATACACTCCCAAACCCTCAGCTTTGGTTTCAATGGAGTAATGCCTTGACACACATTGAGTTTTGGCACATCATTCTTATTCAACCTCTCTGTTGCTATGGGAAGACAAAAGCTATCATAGTCAGTTGGTAGCATTTCCAGGAGAGGAGGCCAGGACTTGTTCCTGGAGACTCTCTTGTGGCACACTTGGACATCCCAGTAGACACTAGTCCACTCCCCACATGTGCCTCCCAGAGCTTCTAGCTGTCCAGCTGTGATGGCTGTAGGCTTGGGGTAGAGGGCACACTCTACCTAGGGCCATGGCAAACCTGTTTTTGGAACTGGCCCTAGAGCTTCTGCTGTCTACCAGGCTGAGCATGCTTGACTGATATATTTGCCTAACCTGGGAAGGGGGCAGTCATATTCCTATTCCTGCTTCCACAGACAGTCCTGGCCCAGCCTGGCCTCATGGTCCTGCTAATACAGAGTGCTATGACCTCAGGTCACAAAAGTGGATCACACCTGAAGCCCACAGTCAGCAGTCTCATGGGAACATGGGCTCATTTATACCTGATCTGTGGGTGCTCTGTGCCTCAGTGGCAAAGCTAAGTATCTCAGATAGGCAGGCCCCTGCAAGCCTGAATTATGTACTGTATGGCCCTTGACTGAAACAACTTAGCTTGACTCTGCATGATTCCCACCCAGGGCTGTGTGTGCACCCACACTTTGCTGCAATTTCTAGCTCCAGGCAACCAGGACTCCAGGCAACAGTGGCTCCTATTTGCTTCCCACTTCCTTTGCTACTGTCAATAAAGTGCAGGACAGGCCTGTGGGAGGGGAAGAAGCCTAACCATGCTTTGGCCTGCCCTAGGGGTCCCATGTTTAAGACAGATGACTGCTGCCACCTATGTGAGGCCTTCAGTGATGAAATGCCCCTGATGGGGTTTAATCTGAGTTACAAGAAGCCATCATACAGAATCTCCTCAGCCTGGATGAGGTAGGTGTTTATTCCGAATGCAATGGAGGATGGCAGATTTCTAGAGCTCAGAGCCCTGGTTTCAGATCAGTGTGTAGCCGCCCAACGAACCACTGCTAGATGTTGCTCCCAGACTACAGGAACATTCTACTTCTGGCAAAGTCCCTGGTGTCTGGTTCTAGCCACACTGTCTCCCAGTAGTACCCACTGGGTCCTGATGACACAGGTCCGCTGGAGATCTTCCTGGCCTGTCTCTCATGAGCTCACATGCCAGGCCAGCCATTTCAAAGGACGTCGGTTGTCTGGGAGGCTCAGAGGCCCATGGACTCCCAGGTACTGGCTGAGCGCTGTTTCAACCATGAACAGCTACAGTATGAGGTAGGCTGCAGTGAGAACCAAGCCAGGCACAGCTCGGCTCTTCACATACTGCTCACGGAGTGCAGCAGGATAGCAGGTGCTTCTGCTTTCTATTTCTGCAGTGCTAATTTCCAGTAAAACATCACATCTGAGCAAGCCTGTCTGCAGCCAGAAGCCCAGGCAAGCTCAGTGGGGGTATTTGCACAGGTCTCTGGGGGTCCAGATGTGGTGCTAGCCACCCCAAGTGCTCGTTTAGAGTTGGGGGGGGGAGACTGTACATAATGCTTCCTGAGAAAGAGGTGATATCTCCCATACTCCACTCCCCAAATGCCTCCTGTCTCCTGCTTCTGGCTGTACCGGCACAATACTGTCTGGCAGTGGTCTCTAGGGCAGGTGGGCTTTCAGGATACCTATGGTTCTTCTGTAGTACTGAATTTGCCTCTAAAACACTATGGCAACTTTACCATGCCAAATTCTGGAGAGGGAGCTATGTTCACACAGACCTCTCTCTGTGCCACAGCAGGAGGTACTCCCTCTCAAGAAAGAGTGAGACAGAAGCCACCTGCTTCAAGAGCTCTAGTCAGCCTTCAGTCTGGTACAAATTAGGCAGGGAGCATAGCCTGAGGACTTCTGTACCCACTGAGGAGTCTGGAGATTGTCAAGGGCTGGGTTAATGAGTGGTAAGTCTACCCCTGGAGCAAAACCCCCAGGGTTGCTCTCATTTTCTTTCAAGAGGTCCTTGTTTAAGAGCAAGAGATCCCCTTACTGAGTCTTGAGTCTGGCTGGCAGTTCTGAGTCACTGTCATGAACTGCTTCCAGCTTCAGGCTTCAGCGTCCACCTGTCTTCTTTGTATTCGAGTTAGCAATCAAGCAGGCCTGTGCCACTCTGGCTTCCACATCTAGTCCTCAGACAGTTATGTGTTCCTTGGGGCTTCCCTGGCTCTTCTGCAGGAGAACCTGCAGGTATCAGGGAGTATTTTGGGGCCTACAGGTCGCCTGTGGCTCACTGACAGCTGCGGCTGCCTGAACTGGGAGAAGCATCCAGACCCATGTGTGTTCTCCCTTAAGGGAAGGTTCACACGCATAAAGGCTCCTCAGGACCAGAGTCTCCATGAGGTGGAATCATGTGAAGTACTGACACTTATCATTTGGGGTCTGTGCAAGGCTCCCGGGGTTGTGCCTCCAGGATCAGGTGTATCAGCTCCAAGCAGAGGCTGAACTCCCCTCTGGGGCTATTAGCATCCCCTCAGATAAAAACTAGTACCCAGGAACTTCTGTCCAAGGGGCATTTTCGGGCTGGCCTCCCTCCTGTCTCCTAGAAGCTGGAATGCCATGACTTCTGGATGCCACAGTCAGCATCCCCTGGAGTCTGGGGCACTTGACAAATGAAAGTGATTATCATCATTAACTTCCATGCTGTGTCTGTGCTGCTGTCCTTGCTTTAATTATCAGTAAACCAGCTGGCTTGTGAAATGAACGGTTTACTGCACACAGCTGTGTCCACGGCCCTGCACACAGGACTCAGCATAGCAGGAGGAGGTGGTTAAGTTCCCGGTTTAAACCAAGTCATCAGGGTGCTGACCCTTGTACACACATAAGACTCCCCACTGATTCCTCTTTTTCAGTGCAAAGACTTGAACTCAACAGTGACAACCCACTGTCATCTCAAAATAGCCAGGAGGCAGACCCCACTGTGGGCTTTGCCACTGGGGGTGGGAGCTGGGCATGGGCTCTCACCTGTGTCCTGACACAAGTGTCCCAGAGTGGCTTTGCTTTGAGTCTTTTGCAGACAGAAGTCCCCTACTTCCTCTCCCCTCCAGGACCACCCCTCCATTGCATCAGCCCTGTCACCTTCAAATGGCCTCCTGTTGCTATCACACCATATTCTGCATTTCCAGTTCCTGGTCTGTTTATGATGTCCTGACCAGCCAGCCAAACATAGACTAAAGCACACATCTGCTCCTTAAACAGCCTGTGTCCCACAGCACCAGGGAGCACTCACATAGTGTGGCCACGAGCAGATATATCTCATTGTCATAAACAAAACAAAACAAAACAAAACAAAAACCTTATGTTATTAAAACATCCTAAATGTCACATTCTGCACATCTCTGAAGTGTTTGAAGACCACCTGTCTGTCTAAAATATATCTCTGTTTGGCCTTGAAAACATACCTAACATGACTACAAGTTGGGACTCCTAACAACGGGAGCAGGGGTTGTTCTCAATGCTTTGGCTGGCTTTTGGTAACCTATTCCTTGCCTAGCCTTAATACATGGAAAATGCTGAGTCTTGCCTCACCAAGTGTGTGCACTCATGGGGTAATGGAAAGAGAGCAAAAAGGTAAAAACATGTGTGTACTATCTAAGCCAGGGCTGGCTTTGCCATGAGGACATGACCAGGCTTGTTTTACTTTGTCTAAAATATCTAACTTAGAGAAAGTGTTGACTCCCCTACATGTGCCGTGAGCACCTACAGTGTGAAAGCATCCTGCATCATAGCTTGAGCAGGACTGCCCTGTACCATCTGCTACTGGAGAGGGCCATGTGGCAGCACCTTGTTAATACTGTCTCCTGTCCTGGCCCACTGCAACCCAGTGCCTGCATATGGTAAATGCTTCACAAATAATTAGGCATGAAGAGGCGTTTGAAGGCTGCCAGCTGGCTTGAGACTCTGGCAATCACTAACTGTAGACATCCCTTCCTCAGCAAATGGTTTCCTATTTGCCCTCTGCACCTACACCAGCAGGTGACAAAGCATGTCGATTCCCTAGGCTCCAGGGAAAGTGACATCACACCTGGCCATCAGCTGCTCTTTCTGTAGGACCCAGATGACCACTGCTCCCCGCTAATCTGGGCCACAGCCGTGAAGACCATACCTTCGACACACTTTGTGGGGTAAACCAGGCATCTCCTCTGGATAGAAGCCCTCACCACACGCTGGCACGCATTTCCAGTCTTGGAAGTGGAAGCTTTTTGCACAGTGAATACATTCTTCTCTGCTGGGCCCTGACAGGTGCAGGGAAAAAAACAGATGTCAAGGACATGTCTTGTGTTCTAGAACATCTGTGGGGGTCTTCAGATGTCCCCAGGCCACCCACACAGCTGACACTTTCCAGGAGCTCAGTAAGAGTTGGCTATGTGACTGGAGGTAGACCAACCCCTCTTCACAGATGGGAACATCAGAGGCCTAAGTTGAGCTCAGTGGGGAGCTCTACCTGGGCCATCATGACTGACTTTGGTTTCGTGTACCTCCTTTTCCGTCAGCTTTAGGCCAGAATCAGTATTATAGTACATTAGGTGCAGTGGCTAAATTGAGCTGTAATGGGTGGGTAAAACACAAACATGCCGTATTTTCATTGTATCACACTGAAGTGATGGTGTCTGAGGTTCACTGGGCTAAACTGGGCACGGTACCCAAGCTATTTCCACACGGTTCCTACTTTTTGTCATGAGAATGACATATTCAGATTTTGTCATGAGAATGAAGGTATACATACTTGTGTGTGCATGTGTGCATTTGTTGTGCGTGAGTGTGGTTTGGAATACAATCTTGGATGTTCTCCTTGGGAATACTGTCTACCTCTTTTGAGATGAGATCTCTTTTTGGCCTGGAGCTCACTAATTAGGCTAGACTGAGTGGCCATTGTGCTCCAGGACTCCTCCTACCTTTGGGCTTCTGTAATGGATAAGAACATCCATAGGGAGTCTCTCTCTCTCTCTCTCTCTCTCTCTCTCTCTCTCTCTCTCTCTCTCTCTCTCTATAGTGTGGAACCCTCAGCCCCCCAAATTGGAATTCTCTCAGGTTTCTCTTGCTTTTGATTAAAGCTTAGTCTCATGCTTGGGCCAATCTCCACCCTGCCCACACCCATGTTTGTCTCTAGAGAGCATCTCAGGTCAAGATGGCAGACTGGTGCACTTGGAGGGGGTTACTCTATTGTGGGCCTCAGGGACTATTAATGCCTGACACTGTCCTACTCCTGTGCCTCACCTTTCATCTGCTCCACTGCCAGTCCTACTGTCCTTCCTCCAACCTAGGTCCCACTGCTTTTTTGGTGGTGATATTGGGGTTCACATATAGAAGGTGTGCATACTACCACTAGGCAATACCCCTAGGTAATGCTCAGTCTATTAAACTTAACAGTGATTGTGAGGTGGATGTGGCTGTGCACACTTATAACCCCAGGACTCAGGATGTGGAGACAGGAGGATTAAAAATTTAGGGACAACCTACTGAGTGAGCCCCTATCTTCATTTTTAAAAGTTGATTATGGATTGAAGGTGTATTACATCATTGCCTAGCATGAATGAGGGCCTGGGTTTTATTGTTGTTGTTTTTTGTTTGTTTGCTTTTGATTGTTTGTTTGTTTGTTTTGTTTGTTTGTTTGTTTGTTTTGAGACAAAGTTTTTCTGTGTAGCCCTGACTGTCCTGGAACTCACTCTGTAGACCAGGCTGGCCTTGAACTCACAGAGATCTGCCTGCTTCTGCCTCCTGATTGCTGGTATCCAATACCACTCAGCTGTGAGGCTTAATACTCACCACCAGAAAATAAGAAATTAGGAAGAATGTTGGTCTCAGGTTCAGTACCCAGAAGATGACGGCAGTGTTTGTCACATAACAATGTGAATGTGCTTAATGCCACTGAACTGTACATATGAAAATGGCCAGACTGGGATGGCAAACGCAGTGAGAGTGGGAATAATAGGTATCAAAACAATTGCAGAGGAGAAGCTCTTCTAGTGATGTCTTGAGGGTCAACTCGATTGCATTTAGAATCGTCTAGGCAACACCTCTGGCTTGTCTGAGGGTATTTCCAGAGAAGTTTAACTTCCTTCAATGTGGGTGGCACCATCGCATGGGCTGGGGTGCTGGACTGAATGAAAAGGGGGGGGGTGGAGTGGAGGAGACAGGCAGTTGAGTACCAGCATTCATCTCTCGATCCTAGCTGGGCATGCAGCGTGGCCAGCTGACACACTCCTGCTACCACTGTTAGAGCCTTTCATGCTACCCTGCCTTCTCCACTCCCATAGATGACATCCTCAAACGGAGAGCTAAAATAAACCTTTCTCTAAGTTGCTTTTGCCAAGCATTTTTGCTACAGTATTTTGCTAGTGAAAAAAGTAATGGAAACAATTCTTTAGCAATAGGGCAACTAGCCAGCCGATGATGACACATGCCTTTAATCTCAGCACTCAGGAGGCAGAGGCAGGTAGATCTCTGTGAGTTCAAGGCCAGCCTGGCCTACAGAGCAAGTTACAGGACAGCCAGGGATGATACACAGAGAGACTCTGTCTTAAGAAAACAAATAAAGTAAAATAAAATAATAAATAATTGCAAATGGCTAAGATGGTAAATTTTGTTATATGTAGCCTGTTATAATAAAAATGCTAATGAGCACATTTTCTATGAAACTTTCACAACTACTAATTATGATGTTATACTCAAAACCTCTCAGGGATTCCACGAAGTCTCTCTAGGCTCCAGGCACTTTAGGAGCCCCACAATGCTAACGATAACAGCTCAATGGGCTATGCTAACCCATCACATTAAAACACTGAGCCTTGTTCAGAAGGCAAGAAGAGCATGCTGTGAGAAGTGCTAAGGTAGAAAGTATTCCTTTCCCTTGAAACCTCTCTGGACCTGTCGTGGTATTCTTTTACTCGCTGTTTCTTACTGCACCTTCCTAGGCACAGGCCAGGGTAAACCATCCCAAGGGCTTAGGGCACTGCTTCTCATTCTAGCAAGCATGCAGGCATGTCTACTTGTCCTGGGTGGGTAAGTGAAAGCAGGTACTTCCCTCTCCCATGGGCTGAGGATCAACCCTGAGCCAAGGATCACAGACTCAATGCCAGGATGCTCTGGCCACCAGCAATTGAGATGGTCAAGAGTCTCACTCCCACAAAGCTCAGTGTACTTGGAACTCTGTAGGGTAGGTCACCATGCTGTACCAAAGATGTCATCAGGCACAGGTGCTTCTATGGAGACCACATCATATGGAGATGACTCTGAGTGGGGAAGAGAAGTTCTCTGGCCCCAGTCGCTGACTCCGGTTACATATGTTTTAGAGAGGTTAAAAAGAGCCTAGGCAGAGGGCATGGGGAGACATGGAGAATTCCTCTCTTCCTACCGTTGAACTGAATTCTTCGAATGATGGAGGAGATACAGGACCGAGACAAGAAAATCTACAAGTGACTCAATACAGCCATTGGCTGCCAGATAGTCTGGGGACTCCGAAAAAGATAGGAGAATTGAATTATTGAAATCAAAAGAGTTATAGACCACAAGCTTGACTGCTTTGGATTCAAGTGACTCTGAAATTTAAATAGGTAGCACTGGAGATGAATCTTAAACAACTTGGATTAAACCAGAACTGAAAACAGGAAATAAAAAGGCAGCAGGGCAACCAGGTAGGAAAAGCTGCCAGCCACCCATGGAAAAGATTATTCTTAAGGTTAAGCCTGGATCCTTCTGGATTGACTGAGGATGGAGTGGAGGAGGGCATGTCTCCCACAGGAGGCCTAGGGTCAGCCCCAGCCATTGCTTGTGGACACTGGATCTCTGGAGTGTCCACTTGGATAGCATGATTGATAGTTTCATGAGGCTCACACAGGACCATACGGAGGATGACAGCGCCTGCCTCCTGGCATTTCTAATAAATGGTTTTGTGGCAAATGAGATTTAGCTGAAACCTAATTCTTATATTGTCACTGCAGCAAACACTCTGTCTAATGTGAGTTTCTTAGAAGGCAGCAAAGTGCTTGGGGCAGGAAGGGAATCAAGGAGAAAGCTTCACCTGGAACGTATCTGTGCACATAACTCACGATGCATGTGGATGACTGCAAAACGAAACCCAATAAAATGAATGAAATCTCTTCTATATTCTGCATAAAATCTGTGCCTGGAGACATCTGTGCTATAATCTCGGTGGGGAACTATAATGCATGTAAAATTGTTTATGGCAGTCTTTTCCTCTTTGAATAAAACGTTCAAAATAAGTGGAGATGGGTACAGAGGACTGAAGTTCTGTTTTATCGCATCCTGCTTGGATCTGTCCCCACCCCTCTCTGAGGCCTCTCAATCTTTATGGTGCTGCATTTTAGTTTATTTCTGCAGGAAGTGTAGAGTTTTAAGGCCAGTCAGCTCCCAAGCAGCTAAACATCCTTTATTTCTCGCCTAAAAGCATTCATGGCATGGCTGTTTTTAAGTCTGGGAAACCCAGGCAGCTTGCTAAGAGTGGGTCTTTGCACTTTTGGTTGTTTGTTTTTTAATTTAGAAAACTGTTGGCTTCAGGTATATCACAAACTTTATCATCTCAAACATCCTAAAGTGTAGAGTTGGGTGGCATTACTGAATTCACACCAGTGGGCAGCCATCAGGACCCTCCATCTGTGGAAGGTTTTTCATTTCCCCTAACTTGCAATTCTGTTCTTATTAAACAGTAACTCCTCATTCTCCCTCTCCAGCCCTGGGAGACTGGGAGGACCTTTGTGTTTTTATAGTCTATTTGCCCCATACATCCTACATAGAAGGCAAATGCTCTACCCCGAGCAAAACTTTAAGCCCCTTGCCTTTGAGTTTTATTCTGTAATAAATGCAGAAACCCACAGAGTCACAGAACTTCCTGAATTTCAAGATAGCTGGACTATTCACCTTGGCGACCGTGCATGCAAATGTCCAACAAGACAAAAGCCTTGGCAGCTTACCCACGCAGGTTCTGCAGGTGTGATGGCACTCCCCACATTTGATCAGCTCAGAATCGAAGTAGGTGCCTGGTTCACAGTCTGGAATGCAGCTGCCCCGTGCCAGGCTGATAAAAAGCAAATAAGGTCCGTTTCCATGTGTGTTCCAAAATTCTAATTAAATTATGATCTGTCCTCAAATGCTTTTCACAGGAGGAAATGAAAGTTATCAAAGCTCTGTGCTTTGTGTCTCTGGAGGTTCCCAGCTAATGAAAGCTGGAGGTCCTGGGGCCTCCATCCTAGTGCAGGAGGCCAAAGCTTCCAGCCTTCTCCTACTCTGCGGTGGCTTCTCTCTATAGCTTTTCCTGACACCTGAATTAGAAACACCCCTCTCCCTGGAGAACTGGAGCATCCAGCAGTTGCCACTGTGGCAACCAAAGGGTTTACGTTTGTATGTGAGGAGGGTAACGGACACGAGGCTACCTTCAGTCCTAGATCTGCTCTGGATTCTTCCTTACTTAAAACTCACCTGTTTAACATGAACTTGAAACAAGAGGCTCTCCTGGCAGCTGATGCCTGCTATGTGTGGCTTCTGCCTTTCTTTCTCACTCCACCAGTGGCTACACATCTTTCCCTTAGCCAGGAAGCCCAGCAGGCAAGGCATCAGGACACAAACTGAGCTATACCATGCATGCAGGACCTGGCTCCACCACTTCCCAGCTGTGCAACCCCAGGCAAGCCAGCAGACCCCACTTCCTCCTGGTAATTTGTTCCTACAGCATAACACTGCTTGGAAGACTCACTGAGCAAATGCATATAACTGTTTGGTGTCTGGCGCACAGCAGTGTAAATAAATGTCACCTACTATGATTTCTTTGGTTCCTGGGATTGTACTGTGTCTGATGCACATGTTTTAAATGGGTTTGCCGATAAACAGATTGAGCAAGGGCTCTGGGGTGCGTCTGTCAGATCCAGAAAGTCCTGCTGTGATGTGATTTATAATTAGAAATATATATTTAGGCTTCATCCTGGCACATAGCTCCCAAACTCTCTAGAATCAATAGTGATAAGTGTCACTTTGTGTGCTAATGAGATGACTGGTAACTGAGGCTCTTCAGCAACTTCATGGTGGGGGACTGGCTGCCAGGTTAACAGACCATTGATCAGAGAACAGGACTTTGCAGCCCCACCACCCCAACCTCAGAGGAAGCGAAAGAGACTGAAGGTAGAACCAGTCACCACTGGCCAATAATGTTAACATTAACTCAGGCCTCCATAATGGAGTCTCCATGACAACACCAAAGGAGATGATTTGGAATTTCCAGGTTGCTGAACAAGAACATATACCCAACTCAGGAGGCTGAGGGGGGGGGTGCTGCCATGAGTTTGAGGCCCATTTTGGCTACAAAGAACACATCCATCCATCCACTGAAAGGGTGTTGCATCCAACTCCACAGGAATGTAAGATCCTATGCTCTTGATCCTGCCAGTGTTGCTATGTATAATACCACTTCAACCCACTTTCTCTGTAACACCTGTATAATACATGGCTAGAGTAAGGAAAATGCCTCCCTGTTCTAGAAGCAGGTGTAGCAAAGCAATCAAACACAAGGAGAGGCTGAGGGAACCCCAACAGCCAGCTGGAAGCAAGGATGGTTTACAACCTGAGGTCTGGGAGTAGCCGCGCATGGGACCAGCATTGGGAACTGAGTTCCCAACTTGTGGGATATTCATTTAGGCTCATGGGATATCCTGTGGGTGCCCAACCATCCATGTTTTGATGACCAGAAGATAAATGTGCTGGGCTGCATATGTAGACCACCCCCACACCCCGCACCGGCGGCGTTTTGCACCTCCATCCAGTGCGGTGATGCTCACGGGGTGGCAAGCTCCTCCCTACAGATGGCAGGTGCTCCCCTGGGACTCTTTCTCACTGTGGTGCCAGGGCCACCAAGCAGAGAGTTAAATCATGTTTGTAATAACCAACACTTCCCTGTGAACCCCTCCAATGTTTATCCCCCTAAAGAGATGGATGGCCAGGAGGCAGAAGTGCGGCTGTTCTCTCACAGCTGTGACGTGACAACAATGATTTGAAGTCACAGCTGAAGAGGATATGGGGCAATAAAAGGAAGCTTTCTGTGGATTATGGCTGGCGATGTTTCCCTTGCTTTGTTTGTGCTCCTCTATGAAAGCTTATTAGTACAGCAAACCTCACACCTGCCCAGTGATTTCTGTGAGGCTTTGTAGTGCCTCCCTGTCTGGACCGCAGCATCCCCTCATCTGGGCATCTGCTGGAAACACAGGGGCTCAGGCTTCACCTTGCCTCACTGTCATTTGGATACAGGTACTGATGATGCTGACTCTTTCCCTTTCTTCCTTTCCATGGAGACCATGGTGCTAGTCCCTCTATATGGGCGTGTCCACAGCTTACTTTGAATACTTGATTTCTACAATTTTAGACAATAACTGGTAATGGGCACCTGATGTCACTAAATGTAATGAGGGTGCATTGAATGAGGGTGAATGAATCAAGCAAAAGTATTAAAAATTATTTGAAGAAGATTCCCTAGCCTAGCAAAGAGGTTTGTTTTATTTATTTATTTATTTATTTATTTATTTATTTAATGCTGAACTTTTATAGGGCAGAGGTCTGTGCAACTTGGAGGATCAAGAATCCCTGAGACATCCTCAGGGAGCCAAGTTCATTCTCTGGCTGAAGATGGAAAACACTGAGGTGACAATGGGGAGAGAAGACCTAGGATGGCCAGGAGGGAGTGTGGGTCAGCCCCTACACCTGTGGCCTTGGCTAAGAGGGGCACTGGAATGGAGGGGTTTACTACTGAAAAAAAAAAGAAGTGACCTGAGATTCCTAGGAAGTCCACCTGACCTCCCAACAACAACCACCTCTATTGTACCTGACGTGTTCAACTCTCACTCTAACCAGCTCTCCAAACCCGGCCTAAAATGTAGCAATTTTGACCATCCTCCAACTTCACTTCTTCAACAGTCCCTTGACTTGACAGCCAGGACTCTTTGGGCTCCAGGCCTTTGACATCTTGGCTTTCAGGAAAGGATGCAAACTCTTGAGAAAGCAAGCACAGCGTAGATGCTGTCTTTTTTTTTTTTTTTTTTTTTTTTCCAGTTCAGGGCAGTCTCACCTGAATCCTTCCTTACACACAGTGCACTTCTCAGGCTCATCCACGCACTTTTGACAGCTCGGGTGGCACTTGAGGCAGTGTCTCTCACCTGGAGAAAGGCAGGAAGATGGGAGGCAGAGGATGGCATGGGGGTGGGTGGGGCTCAGAGTGGAGAATGAGCTCCAGCATGCTAGGTGGTCGTGGCAAGACAGTTCCCCCTAGGCCCTCCCCAGAGCAGGTCAGGAAATTAACCACAGACTTGGGAGTTAGACCCCAGCTCTTCCACATCCCTTGTCTGGTGTACATCAATCAATCAGGCTTCAAAGGTGGTCACTTCTTAGAGGAGACACTCTCATTCTGCTTAAGGCCACAGAGACTGGAGCCAATTCCTGGCTAGCTGAGTACACTTGAATCAGGTGCAAGTCTTTATAGCCCTTTGGGGTACCCTGGAGGCCACCAGCCCCTCTCCCGGGTGAGTCTTTCATGGGAGTCTTCACTGAGGACTTCGTACCTCTATAGTGAGGCAGGACTATCCCTCCTCTCAGGAGCTTCTGGGTCATTCCAAGTGCCACTTGCACTTCCCTGCTTCATTATCTAGCTCATTTGTGTTGGTGCCTCATCAAACCCCAGCTGGTGCCACTACTACACACCAGGCACATGAGCTGAGGGTCCTTGCTGTACCTCTGTGTAGCCTCCCTGGGGTCCAGGAGTGCCATCACATGCTCTTATTTGGTGCTCAGCAAGGACAGTGGTGAAGGTTGGCTGACCCAACCTGGGAAGGTGAGGAAGCTGCACGTGTGGCTGAAAATGAGCCTGGATGGCAGCCGAGGCACGTGTCTGCAAAGCTGGGAAATGTGTCTACGGGACTTGCCATTTCCCCTCTAAAGGAGGTCTTTCCTTGATAATGTCTTTAAAGACTTCCTGGCTCCTTCTCCCCAGGGCTAACAGGAATGGTGTGACTGGTGACAGGCTGGATCAGTGCAGGGGTGCAAATGGGAAGACAAGGGTCAGGGGTGCTGCCAGCAAAACCTCTGAAGTCTTCTTCACCTGAGAGCCATCACTCATCCGTTTAACACAAGCTCTCTCTTCACTTCTTGCAGAGTATGAGACCAGTTGCTAAAACATACATTGGAGTTCCTGCCCACCCATCCCTCACATCTACCTGGGACAGCTTCCCTGCTGAGTTTGAGTCCCATTTCTGTCATTACTAGTTAAGGGCTTCTTACTTCCTTTCAACTTCAAGATAAGGAAAATAGTGCTCTCCTCTTAGGGCTATGGTCACTACTGTAAAGAGCCACACAGACACTGCCCAGACCCCCTGGAATCTGACTCCCACCTGTCAGCAGGGACTTGCATCTAAATCCCAAGTTGCACTCCTAGCACTTCCTCGGAGCTTCAATGTCCCAATTATGTAAACCTGTATTGACACCCACATCGCCATCTTTCCTGGATGAGAAATGACAAGATAGGTGGCAGGGCATCCTCTTCTGGTGTCTCAAGTGAGGCTGAGCTATGGACCTGTGGACCAGCTACTTTTTCTGCATCCTGAATTCCAGTGTGCAGGGCTCATTTCAACCGTGCTTTGCCTGAGTGACAGCACAGCTGCTGAGAGCTGCGGTTTCACACTCCCAGCCCCCAGCCTGGTGAAAAGTCCCAGATAAGACTAATAGAGTACAGGAAGCCAATGGCCCAGGATATCCTCCAAGAATGGAAGAGCACAGCCCTGTGGTGTGCACGGGTGTGTGTGGGGACAATTCATCCATTCTTGTGTCTGTGGACAGTCCACTTACTCTCATCAGCATAGAGTCCGGCAGGACAGAGGGTCACACAGGTGTTGGTCTCCTGGTAGTGATAGAACCCGCGTCGACAGGACAGGCACTGTGTTGGGCTTCTGCCCGTGCAGGTCTCACATCCCTTATGGCATCGACGGCAGCGTCGGGCTGCTGTGTCCCCAAAGTAGCCCAAGGGGCACTCGCTCACACACTTCCTGTGGGACCAAGTGCAGATGAGGGTCTGTCTCTTTCAGTCCCACTCTGTGCCCACCCTGTGTGGCTCTTACATGGGCTGAGGGCTGCATAGCTAGCTGAGGACACAGGATCCCTGGATGGTGGGGGTTAAGCCATAAGTAAGTTCCCTTATGTTTGCTGACTGCAGCTGGTAGGGGGTATCCGGAGGTACAAACAGGCAGGTCTGAAGAATAGGAATCCAATTCCAGACACTGGGTCTGGTGGCCCACAAGTATAATCCCAACACTTGGCTGAGGCAGGAGGATTCTTAGTATAAAATCAGTTTGGGCTACATATATGGCATAAATGAGACAAAACAGAACAGGAGTCCTTTCCCATTCTCAAGATCCACTTGGTTTTCTGTAGGCACTAAGACTTCCGTGTTGACTTGGGATTTCATTTGTTGATTTGTTTTTTGTTTGGGGGGGGTTCTTTTCTTCTTTGGGGACAGGGTTTCTCTGAGTAGCTATAGCCTGTCTTGGAATTCAGTCTGCCAACCAAGCTGCCCTTGAACTCAGAGACCCTCCTGCCTCTGCCTCTCAAGTGCTAGAATTAAAGGCATGCACCACTACTGCCTGGCTTGCTCCGAATTTCTGACTGGGTCAAATCCTACATGGGTGCCCACACAGAACAAGCTTGGTGGTCAGTGAATGAAGTTGCAGATGATTGCCCTTGGACAGAGCCAGGGTGTGCCCTGGGCCTGGGGTAGGGACTCCAGATACAGCAAGAGCTGCATCTTAGCACCACTGTGCACAGCACACCTGTGACTGGTCTGCCTGGCCCTCATGGACAGGCATCAGTAGTGTCAAGGTACATTTGCCATCCAGACCTTTAGGGTGTCTAGCCCTGTCTTGCTATCACCTTGGCTTTCTCTGCTAGGCACATGCAACACATGGTAGATGCTCAGGAAGATTTGTGCACTGACTAAATAAAAAAGGGCAGCTTCCAGCCTGTTAGGGCATGACACAGGGTCTGCAGCTTACATACTTCCCATAGAAGGGACAGTTATAGGCTGGGCATCCCAGGTCAGGTCTGTCAGAGGTCTCCTTCAGGGAACAGGAAGTTGAACAGATTTTCTAGGAAGCCCTGGCTGCAGCCTGTCCAAGAGCCATGTCACCCTGCTGGTCCTCTGAGGCCTACAGTACAGGGTCTTGGCCTCGATCCTCTGTGAGCAGGTAGGTGTACTCAGTATGATCCAGTATGGGTACAGAATGATATCTAGGCACCACCAGCAAACTGTCCAACTCCTCACCTTTTCATAATGGACTTGTATCATTTCATAATGGACTTGTATCATTTCATAATGGACTTGAATCATTTCATAATGGACTTGAATCATTTCATAATGGACTTGTATCACTTGTGTGATTAGAACTGAGACACTAAACTTTTTAAAAAGAATGCAAAGCTGTTAACTTGGATTCAGTTTCTTTGTCTAGGGTTATACAGTTCAACATGGTTAGTGCTATAACGTGGGGATCCAGGGCATGCAGACAGCAGCTCCAGCCACATGTTACCTGCTTATCTTGGCGTTCCCCAGGCTGAAGTGGACACAGTTCAAGCACTGGTCTGCATTGGGGCCATCGCAGCCTTTGTCACCACACTCAGGATGGCATGCACCTTAAAGACACAAGCACTTCTTTTCATCCAGAGAGATGCTTTCTCCATCCAATCTAGCCCTTTTTCAGGTTACCACAGCCCCCAGGTCCTGGAACTTCCTTCAAGAGTGATGTCTTATAGGGCTTACCACACCAGGGACCTACTTATGGGATGTGGTCGCAGCCTGGGGCTGAATCTAGCTGTCCTGACCCTCTATGGAGGAAAGACATGAGAGCACGTGATATAGCCATTGGTGCAGTGAGGGACCAAGGCCAGTGAAGAGGGAACTGAGACCCTAGAAAAAGCAGCATTACAGCCATCATGATGGGACCAGTCACCTTGTTATATACACTGTGAAAAACAAAGCAATACAGTTGGGTGTTTTGGGGTTGTGACAGTGCAGCAATGAAATGCCAGTGGAGGGTGAAGGAGTCTCTCCATTTCCACACCTGGTGATCCTGCTGTTACACAGAATGGACAGGGACAGGGGCAGTGGGAACACAGCACTGGATGACATGAGCTCATGGTGACTGTGGGTTGAGCTTCTTCCTGCCGAACTTTTTTTTCCGGTTTCCTTCACTCTAGTTGTCAGCAGTAAACCGCCAATGTCTTCCCTCAAGTCTCCTTTGGTGACCTGAATTCTTACTGTGGGCTCCATGCTGTTGAAAAAGTCATCTAAAAGTGCAGGGAGCTCTATGAATTCCAGAAAACTGTGATTTTGTAGGTCTTCCCCCAGGGTCCCACAGGGATGGGGCAGGTTTAAATGTCTGCCTCCTCAGCTGCAGTTGGCATGGCTGCAGGTTCTCTGCTGCTGAAGCCAGCCTGAGGGACTCCTGTCTTTCTCACCTATGCACACAGAGGGGACACATTCCTGGAGGCTGGAGTGATGCAGGGAGGGGCTGGAGGAGGCACTGGGGGGTTTCTGAGACTTCTGAAGGAACAAGCCTAAGATTGTGTTGGAAGAGGATGGGGAGTGAGTCCAGAAGCAAGGAGTTGAGATCCTGGCCACCTCACCTCGTGGGGGGAACATGAAGACAGCCGCCCTCATTTTCCCAGCCCACAATGGGCTTTGCTGAAGAGCACAAAGGCCTCTTCATTCACCCTCCATGTCTGGAGGCCCTCCCAGCCTTAGAGATTGCTTTCTTCACCTTTGTTGATCCCGCCCAGTTCTCCTGATGGGTGTCCACCTGCCTCTGTTCCCACCATGAACCCCTGCAGAGCTGAGGTCTCCTGGATGTTCTAGATGGTCTTTCCAAGGGGCTGCTGGCCTATTCTGTATCCTAGATAGACATGCCTGTCACTTACAAAATCCAGCGCCTGAGCCACACCCTCACCCTGCCTCCCAAAACTGTTTATTATTTTGGAGTTTCTTGTTGGCCTCACCCTACGTCAGTTCCTGGGAAAACTCTACTTCTCCCTCTATCACACTATTGTTTAGCTACCTTCCCATCCACCAGGCATGGTGGCATTCTACTGTGGCCTTGCTGATCAGTCCCTTAAAGGGTTTGCCTTTCAACTTCTGCAAAACTTTCTCTATAAGACCCAGAAGGCAGTAGGTAACAATGCAACCAGCCAGGTAGAAAGGAAGATACTAAGAGACTAAGATACTAAGAGACGTCTCTCAGTATGACCGTGAGACCATTGTAATGACGGACTCCAAAGGAATGACACATCCCCTGGAATTGAATGCCAGGAGAAGGAAAAAGCATTAGCCAGAGGGGGAGTTTGTTCACTGGAAAGAGATGTACAACTTGTCAGACCACCTTACAGGATGAGACCGAAGCCCAGACAAGACGGGTCAGTGGTGTGTAGAACCACAACTTGACCAGGACACCTGACCTAGATATCTATCTAAACTTTAATCTCACTTAAGGACCTGGAACATTGACCTGGAGGATGGGGTCAGAGGATTTCTTTGTCTCTTTTCCGAATGTGGTCACACTGAATAAATCTCCTTTTCCTGCTTTTTACTATTTATTTGGTTGTTTTAATTGGCTTCTTAAGAATGATTAGCCAAACTTGGCTTCTTGAAGTACAAACTATTTCCCCAAGTTCAGTAACAATTTTCCATTTTAGGAATAGGGACATGAGCCCTATTTCCTCACAGACAGAATGGGTTCTGACAGGGTGGGGTCTAGCTTGTTCAATGGGAGCTCCTAGGATGTATCTGTGTGGAACAGCTGCTAGGTAAACATTTGTTGGTGGCTGAAATGTGACAGAATGGGCTAAGGGAGAGTGGGGCAGGGGTAGATGTCCTCACCATCGGTCGGCAGAAGGTTCTCACAAGTCCCTAAACTTAAACAGCCTTGGGGAGGGGCCTGGACTGGGCCTTCCCCAGCACTGGCTCACAGGATGCTGATGCCACCTGCCCCTCCCTCCCAGACCTTCCATCTCTACAGAGAAGCCCCAGCACTGGTCCACATGATAGCCAGGGCAGCAGAATTCTGGTATAGCATCAAGGTCATGGGCAGCAGCCAGCCCTCAGTTGGAGAGGTTGGGATATGACAGTGTCCATCCAAGAGCAGCTATCAAATTCATAAACCAACCAATCAACCAGCATGTGGCTTTCTGGATGGTTTTAAAAGCCAAGTATCAAGCTTCATGTCACCCATGAAACACGCTGAATCAGATCCACCTGGCTGGCTGTCACCCCAACCACTGCTTCCCTCCCAGGAATGCTGGGGTCCAGCTGTAACTCATTCTCTCCGTGAGCATCTGTTTTTGTTGTCACAATCTGTAATTCTGTCTGCTTTGCATCTCTCCTCAATTAGCTGGAAGTGACTCCAAGGCCTGGCTTCCCCAGTCAGTGTGATTGAGAATCACTCAGAGCAGAGGCTCCCAGCAGAAGGAGCGCCTGAATGTTCTGAACAGTTTGGCTAACATAGATCACAACCTCATGGGGCTAACCAACACAGGCTAATTTGAAAAGCCAATGTTCAGTCCTTTGTGGGGCAAATCCAGAAAAACTAAAACAAAACAAATCAACGAATCAGGAAAGCAACTTGGGATCCTGCTCTCTCCCTCTCCTCTTCATTCCCTTTCTATCTCTCTCTCCTTTCTTTCCAGGGCTAGGGACTGAATCTGGGGCTACACATAAAACAGGTAAGTGTTCTGTCATTGAGCTATATTGCTGCACTTACGTTTTTGAGACAGAAACTGCAAGTTGACCAAGCTGGTTTTGAACTCACTCTGCAGCCCAGGTAAGCCTTGAAGTTATGATCACATACCTCAGAAAAATCCCACTACTCCAAGTTCCTGGCATTACAGGCCTGCACCATGAGGCCCAATTCATTTTCCATGCTCAATGGCTGCTTCTTTCCTCAAGCCAGGACCCCTTCATTCCAATAATAGTTGGGTCACATGCTTGTAAGAAAACCACCCCATGTCCTGCCTCCATTCTTTCTGGGCTCAGGTCTACTAGCTGCCTAGGTACAGCTCTTCCTGAATCTTATTTACCTGCTATGGGTATAGACTTCAGAGCACCCCAGATCTGCTGAACCTGGTCTCTTAGGTGGGGCCAGCCTAGGGTCTGCTCTTTATTAAAGTGTCCCTATCAGTTCTGATGGTGACGGTGGTGATGTACCTGTACTGCCACCACCAGATGGCTCTGTCACTGTAGGGTGGCCCTCACTCCAAGCTGTTCATTCTTAGTACCCTACACAAGTCTTCCCTGTGCCTGCTGAGGCTGCTACCCTTGCTTCCAGGGGGCCTTCTTCTAGTCCCCAGTGCCCTTGTTCTCTAGTCCACCACTCCACTTGCTAATGTCATTGCTCATCCTCCACTTGACCCCAGGGTACCACTCATCCCACATAGAGACTACTCCTGCTGCCTGGCTCTGACTGGGGCCCGGTCTAGTATGGGGATGGCCCTAACAGTTCATGAGCTGGAATCTTGGTCCTCAGCTGAGGTGGTGGAACATCCTAGTGTGATGACTAGCTCTGATGGCCAAATGACTGGCCTGAGGGATACCTAGGAGATAACTGCAGCACACCTCCATGTGTATCTGTGTGGATGCTTCCAGAGAGAACTGGATCAATTATGCCTCTGACCTAGTCAACGATTTTAGCCATTGATGGATTCAAAATGTTGACTGATTTGGGGAGGTGGTAAAACCATGGAAGGTAGGGCATTGCCAGAGTGTCACTGGGGTACTGGCTTCTTCCTGCCTGATTTCTCTTTCCTCTCTGTCATGCAGTGAACATCCCTGCCCTACCTACCTTCTCCATTAAGATGTTCTGCACCACCACTCAGAGCAATAGGGCTAAGCAACTGTGGACTGGAGCCTCTGAATCTATGAACCAAAATCTATTATTCCTCCTTTTAACTATTTCTCTTAGGTTTTTGTCCCAGTGATGAAAACCCTATGGGCACACATTGCAATGTAGTTAGAACATTTTGGATGTTGCCCTCAGAAAGGGTTAACGTGAACTTGTGGCACTGACTGAGTTCTGGCAAGGGCTGGTTGTTATAAAGTAAGGCCTTGCTACCCACTTGGCTCTTATATGTCATCATTCCATGTTTCTTTCTGCTTTTCCACTCTCCCATGATGTAGCCAAGGGGATCTCCCTCAGAGATGGACAGGGAGGCTGCATTTCTAGTCCCCTGAATTGTGAGTCAAATAAAGCTTCTTTTCTTTATAAGCACTCAGCTCTGGGGATTTTGTTAAACAACAGAAAACAGACCACTGCAATGCTGAGCATCCTCTGCAGAAGCCCCACTTTCCTGTGGTGGGCTATCTTGCCAGCTGCTGTTTGGTTGGGGCCCTTATTATCCACAAACATTCTCTGATCTTCCCTCTTTCACCTCCTATTTCTTGTCCCAGGGAGAGTTGGCCCTCCACCTCTCACCTCTCCTGTCTGCCTCTAATACCCTGATGCTGGTCCCTGGGACTACTGCTCCAATGGACTCTCTGTCTTTCTTAATATGACAACTATCTTGGCCACAAGGTCCAGGTGGAACCAATGCCAACCTGGGCATTACCACAAATGTACAGTTTGTCAATGGCCAGCTTTCCATGTTCTAAAAGCAAAAGCCAGTGGTGACCCTTGCCCTTTCTTTGGACTCTAAAGTGGCTGTTCCTCACTTCTCCTGCTTGGCCACTTATACCATGGCACCCCCTGTCACTCTGGCTTGTCTCTGTGACTGGGTCACCCTTCCAGTTCCCCACTAGCCTTTAGGAAGCTTTCCTGAGAGCCAGAAACACACCTTATTCCCATAGAAACCTCTTCCTCCATCCGGGCCATGCTAGATAGAGACATGTACCAAATGTGTCAGAGCAGAATAGCATAAGGATGAGATGCCAGTGTGCATGGCTGGAGTTAGTAGCAGATTTTGAGGAGACACACACACACACACACACACACACACACACACACACACACACACACACACACACACAAACACCCACACACACACACACACACACAAACACACACACACAAAAATCAGCTCTTTATTAATAATTGCTAAATCTAGCCACGGTTTATAAATCACAGGGGAAAACGTCAGATTAATTCATACATAATTCAATGTTCCATTTTAAAGAAAAGGCAGAAGAAATTAAAAATGGAATCGACCAGGGTTTATGCTTGATTTGTATTGGTGGAATTTTCCATTTAGTTATCCATATTTTGAGAGATCACCCATCATTTGTCAGGTAGCTAGGACATTTAGCTAAGAAAAAAATATGCCCAACCAGAAACATACAATTGCTGTGGAATAGCTCAGAGGAAAATGAACAGCTTTAGACTCTAATAACATCTTCACTCTGCTCAGAGGTTGGAGGTGTCTAAAGACAACTTTGGGTTAGTGTGGCTCCCTGCCACCTTGCAAATGCACCAGCAGTCTAGATACCCTGTGCCAATGGGATGCATAGAGAAGCATCTGCACCAGGGATCTTTACATGCACCCAGTACTGATCATCTCTTGACAGCCTCTCCTGGGTACTAGCCCTGGAGAGTGGGCACTTCTCAACCACAGCTTCTTTTTTGAAACAAATCTGTGGAACCCAGGCTTCCTTCTCATTTCTGGTTGCTCATAGTGGATGGACTTGGGAGAGTCAGGATGTTGACTCCTGCAATGAGGGCCCTTGAAGAAAAGGGGAAGCCCTGGAGCTAGCTAATTAACCCAGGGCAAGCCCCAGTTCTGGTTGGGCATATAGGAGCTCAGTGCCCAGCCTGGAAGGTCAGAGAGTACTTACTGGTTTGAAGCATACTTACTGGTCTGTAAAGTATTAGGAGAGCCTTGGGTGGAAGGAGCTGTGTGAGTGCAAATTACTGTCATTATTACAACTTCCAGGCAAGACAAGACTCATAACCAAAACCCCACCTTTTGCCTGAAAGGGCCCCATCCTCAAGTTACAGTGGAAAACAAAGTTGGGAGGCCAACCATCTCCTCTCATTCAGTCCCATTACCTGTGTACTCTTCCTCATCTTCGGGAGTCTCTGCCTGGGGTGGTGGCCCAACAGCTTTGGGAGGCTCCAGCTCTGGGACTGAGAGCTCCAGCATCCGTGAGCGAGACTGATGGGAACTGAATGTGCGGTACGGGTGCTCCGCTGTGCCATATAAAATGAGGCTCCATTCTTTCAACTTTCCTGGAAGGCACCAAAACCACAGTTATCCCCCAAAAGCTCTGGATGCCTGCTGGCTGCTAAGCATGTACAGCAGCCTCCATTCATCACTCATAAGAGTATTAGATGCGGCCTGGCTTCCACTCCCATAGTAGGCTCTTTGTTGTTACTTCACTTCCAACTCACCTGATGGCCACATGTGATGCCTGTTCCAGATGTTGTCAACTTGGCCACATCTGGAATTATCTAAAACCCATGCAGTTGGGTATACCTGTGGGATCTTTTGAGGTGGGATGATCCACCTTTAATCTGGGCCACACCTTCTGCTGGCAGTCTGTATAAAGGACATGGGAGAAGAAAGCTTCCTCTCCTGCCAGCTTGCTCTCACTCTCACAGGCAAGTCCATGCCTTTACTGGCATTGGAGCTTACATTTTGTGGATTCCAGTGTCTACTGAAGACCAGCTGAGATGTACAGCCTAGTGGATGGAACAACTACTGGATTCTTGGACCTTCTGCTGGTAGACAGCCATTGTTAGACTAGCTGCACCACAGCATGTGAGCTAGCGATTCTCAACCTGTAGGTGGTGACCCTTATGGAAAACCTCTCTCTTCAAAAATATTTACATTACATTTCTTAACAGTAGCAAAATTACAGTTATCAAGTAATGATAGCAATGAAAATAATTTTATGGTTGGAGGGTCACCTCAACATGTGGAATTGTACTAAAGGGTAAGGAACTGTATTAAAAGGTTACAGCATGAAGAAGATTGAGAACCATTTATTAAAATGGTTGTAAGCCATTTTAATAAATCTCCCTTCTGTATGATGTGTATTTATCCATTCTATAAGTTCTGTGCCTCTAAGAGAACTCTGATTAATACAGATTTTGGTACCAGACGTGGTTCAAGAGCAACAGAAGTATGAGGATGAATTTTTTTAAGTATCTGGAACAGGCTTTCCAATTTGCCAAAACCTAAAGCTATTGAAGCCTCTTTTAGAAGCTCAGGAAGTATGGAAAGCCCATGGTGTGAACTACTTTACAAACTTAAGGAGGCAAAGCATTTGATTGATTGCACCCTGAAAATTCCGGGCTAAAATGGGTCTTCCCACTTTAAATTACTTAGTTAAAAAAAAAAAAAACTCTCATAAGTGTACCCAGACACATGGGTTTCAGTTAATTCCAGATGCAGTCAAGTTGACAACCAAGAACAGTCACCACAAGTACACTCCTTACCAACTCAACACACAATCTTATCTCCTTACATCACGATTAATTTCCAAATGAGAACAGTAACCAGGTCATAATTACACTAATATGATATAACTTCCCCTCCAACAACCACGAATGCATTTTATTAGGGACTTAAGAATTTACATTCTTATAGTATCTCAAACTTAAATACGATAGCTACTGATACTCTCTTAGTTGATGTTCTATTACATGATAAAGAAATCAAGGAGAGAAAACACAACTGTATAAATACAATCTCAACAAAACACAGCAGAAACATTTACGCCAACTATAATCCTTGTTTCTATAACTGATCACGTGGCCTTAGCTGGTATTCATGACTGCCTTCCTCTATTACCCGTTCTGTATTTCTTTCACCCTCAGGAATCACCTAAGCAGGACTTGGCTCTTTTCCTGGAGGAGTGACCCGTACCCTCATTCCTGAAGGGTCTGTGTCTTCTGTCATCCTGCCTGGGTTAGGATGTTGTAGTTTCCCACTGACTTTAATCACAGGACATGTTAGCACTAAGAGATGCCCTAAAGCAATGGTCCTCAACCTTCCTAACACTGTGACCCTTTAATACAGTTCCTCATGTTGTGGTGATCCAAATCATAAAATTAATACATTGCTAATTTGTAACTGTAATTTTGCTACTGTTATGAATCCTAATGTAAATATCTGATGTATGACCCCCAAAGGGGTCATGATCCACAAGTTGAAAACCACCGCAAAGGCTCTCCTGCACTTCAGACATTATCTTCTTTACTTCCACTGTGGAGAAACAGTCCAATCACCCCTCCTAACACTGTTACTCCTTTCTTAGCCTTCTGGTTTAAGGGCACCAGAAGCCCAAAGTGGCCAGGGGGAAATCTGAGCTTCCAGTGTCTCCTGGCAGGAGTGTTCCCTGCTCTGGAACTAAAACCTCTAGGCCAGCAGAACTGAAGGTCTTGGGAACAGGAAGCAAAAGTTTCCTTAGTGGGTCACTAAGGGTGATTGTAAATGGAATCATTTCCCTTTCCATGCCTTGATTCCTGGACCTGTGGATTCAGGCTATGAGAGAAAATGTACCTTATATTGGACACTGATCAAAGCACATACTGCCTTCTTGAGAAGCCAGCCCTAGCCTTCCATGCTGCTGCCACCTAATTGGCCCTGTAATTGAGACTTCAAAAGGCCATGCCATCTTTCTATCAGGCCAACTGTTTCAGGATGGTGGGGAACACAGAAAGGCCAGTGAGTTCCACGATTGTGGACCCACTGTTTCACCTATCTGGCTGTGAAGTGAGTTTCTTGGTCAGAAGCAATACTGTGTGGAATACCATGAGAGTAAATACAGCATTTTGTAAGTCCACAATGGTGGTTTTGGCAGAAGCATAACATGCAGGAAAGGTAAATCCATAACCAGAGTAAGTATCTATTCCAGTAAGGACAAAGCGTCATCCTTTCTACAGATGAAGTCATCCAATATAGTCAACCTGCTACCAGATTGCTGGCTGGTTACCCTGGGGAATGGTGCCGTATCTGGGGCCCAGTGTTGGTCTCTACTGTTAGATCTGGCACCCAGTCGCAGCTGTAGCCAGGTCACCCTTGGTGAGTGGCAGCCCATATTGTTGAGCCCATGCCTAACCTCCATCTCTGCCACCATAGGCACTTTGTTCATGTGTCCATTGGGCAATGATGGGGATGGCTGGGGAAAGAGGCTGACTGTCCACAAAATGGGTATCTACTTGATTACTGAACTCCTCCTCTGCTGAAGTTATCTTTTGATGAGTATTTACATGGGACACAAGCTTCTTCACATCCTTTGCCTATTTGGAGAGCTCTGTGTATGGCCAAGTGTACGGCCCAAAGTTCTATACACTGAAGATTTCCCCTTATAGGTATCTTTTAAGGTGGTATCCCAGAAAGGTGTTGTAATGTTGCAGTTGTTCACTTCTAGGAGGTGCCTGAATAACATGCAGAGCCATCAGTAAGCCAGGCCATAGTCTTCTCTTCCCCAGTCAACCAATCATAGGGCACACCCCCATAAGGCTATAGGTGTGTGCTTGGCAGCAGACGGCATTGTAATGGGAGTAGAAACCATAGGCATTTAGGCAACTTCTTCATGTATCTTGCTTGTGCCCTCAGGACCTGCTCATGGTCAATCACATATATACCACTTCCCTTTGATGATGGATTGTTGTTGTGCCTATCCTGCTTTATGACTTTTGGGTCAGATAACACTCAACTCATAGTGGGCAGCCAGGTTACATGATAACTTGGTAGCCCATTATCAAGCATTCAGTTTCTACCAAGGCCCAATAGCAGGCCAAAAGCTGTCTCTCAAAGGGAGAATAGTTGTCTATGGATGATGGTAAAAGCCTTGCTCCAAAATCCCAAAGGTCTCTTCTGTGAGTCACCTAGAGGGGACTGTGAAACAGTATTCCCTATCTGCCACTGATACCTCAAATACCATTGGGTCTTCAGGATCATGTGGTCCAAATGGTAGAGCAGCCCGCACAGCAGCCTGGACCTGTTGAAGAGCCTTCTCCTGTTCCAGGCCCCACACAAAGCTAGAAGCTTTGTGAGTCACTTAGTATATGGGCCAGAGTAACACACCCAAGTGAGTAATGTGCTGTCTCCAGAATCCAAAAAAGGCCCACTAAACTTGTGCTTCTTGATGGTAGGAGGGGCCATGTGCAATAACTTATCCTTTACCTTAGAAGGACTATGTCTGCATGTCCCACACCAGGACTCCTAAGACTTTCACTGAAGTAGAAGGTCCTTGCATTTTGGTGGGATTTATTTCCCATCTTCTGATGTGCACACCTGTTATCAATGAGCTCAAAGTGGCGGCCACCTTCTGTTCACTTGGTCCAATCAACATAATATCATCAACATAGTGAACCGATGTTGATATTTTGTGGAAGACACAGATGATCAAGATCCCTTTGAACTAAGTTATGACACAGGGCTAGGGAGTTAACATATCCTTGAAGTAAAACTGTAAAGGTATACTGCTGGCCTTGCCAACTGAAAGCAAAATGCTTCTGGTGGTCCTTATGGTACCAAGAAAAACACATTTGCTAGATTAATAGCTGCATACCATATACCAGGAGATGTGTTAATCCACTCAAGTAAGGATACCATATTTGGTATAGCAGCTGCTATTGAGTCACTACTTGATTGGGTTTTTGATAGTCAACTGCCATTCTCCATGATCCATCTATCTTTTGTACTGGCTAGATAGAAGAGTTAAAGGGAGATGTGGTGGGAACCACCACCCCTGCATGTTCCAAGTCCTTGATGGTGGCACCAATTTCTGCAATTCCCTCAGGGATGAGACATTGTTTTTGATTCACTATTTTCCCTGGCAGAGGCAACTCTAAGGGCTTCCATTTATCCTGTCCAATGACAGGTCAGAGAACCCATGTGAGAATTTAGCCAACTTCTAATTATGTCTATCCCAATTATACATCTTGGACTGGGGAAATACCATAGGAGGAATTTGGGGACCCACTAGACCCTACTGTGAGTCAGACTTCAGCCAAACTTCCATGAATCACCTGACCTCATTAAACCCCTACTTTAGGTGGAGGGCCACATGTTTCTTGGGGTCTCCCAGAATCAGAGTTAATTCAGAGCCAGTAACAACAGACCCCAGAAAATCTGATTGTTTCCTTTCTACCGGTGTATAGTTACCATTGTAAAAAGCCTTACATCTCTCTGGGAAAGGATTTGGGAAAGGCTAACAGTAAAACTCTTGGCAATTTTATCAAGGTCCTTATGGGAAACTGACTGTCCCTTCATT